GACACAAAGGCATCAGTCCCAAACTAAGTTACAGATGGAATGGCCCATTCAAGATTAAGACGAAGCTGTCTGATGTGACATACAGAATCCAAAAGAGCCCTGGAACCAAGATGAAGGTTGTACACTTTGACCGTTTGAAACCATGTGAAGGAGACGAGCCTAAGGAATGGAAGACGGCTCATACTAGACGGGAAGATGCTGGAAATAATGCCAGAGAGATGGAGTCCAACTCTGAAGAGGTTGATCAAGATTCAACGCCTGACGTGACTGTAAATAGAAGACAAGAAGATACTCGACGCTATCCACTGAGGAATAGAAGACCCGCACATTTCTTTTATTAGAAATGGTTTTGTGGAAATAAAGTTTAGAATAATATTTGTTTTACTTTGGATCTGTTTCCTTCTCCTCTTTCCTTCTCTATAACTTTCTATCTCACTTCTTTCTTTCTTCTATTCAACTCTGTTTTCTCATCTATATCTCTTTCTTATACAGATTCCATTGCTTGTATTGTATATACATGTACATTATTGACATTGTAACACCACTGAGTAGGTTTAAGAATTAGAATTTATTTGTGATAGGTAATCTAGGGCGATGAAAATTTAAGAATATATAAGTGCACGTTCCATGTTGCATAGGAACAGAGAATTGACAAGTTTTGGAAGAAAAGCAGATGTCTTATGTTGTAGATGTATATTTGATTGATGCTGGTGTTGATAGAGAGATTGTGATGTAACAGAGAAGGAGAAGAAAAGTGGGCAAAATAAGACAAGTGTTTTCTTCCAAATGTCACCTACCTTATTGGTAATATTGAGTGAAGTTATTGTTGTTTTTGTATATACTTGCAATCGAAATTAGACAAGGTTGCATCGTAACAAGTTATCGCCCAGGAAAACCTAATGTCTTAAATGCGAGGACGCATTTTGTAAGGAGGAAGGCTGTGTAACGATCCGCTCCGCGGTCGTGACGTAACAAAGAGGCCTAACTTAAATGATTGTTGTTTTCAAGCGCGTCATCATACACCGACGCACAATGTTTACGTTAATAATTTGCATACGAGCGATTGACATTTGGATCCATTATTGAGATGCTTTAAGATGTTATACTGTAATTGTTTATCAATCTATCACATGAATTTGGATGGAAAGTTGTTTAGACAATGTAACTTGTTAATATTTACTGCAACTAGGTCATTCAGAGTGTTGTATTTAATTAATGGTAAAATAAGAGATTTACTTAGATATTTTGCTCTGAACTAGCACAGTCTTCATGTTAAGTCCATTTTCGCTGCGCGCGTACTTTCCAAGATCGCTTAGCGCACCGATTTCCCCCACGTCCGCATTATGCCTTTATAACCCGTAACATTTCTAAAACGCGAGGAGTTGGAATTGGACGCTCGTCGGAATCAGAACTATTAGTCTCTCCCTGGAAATTCCCCCCCCCCCCCCCCCCCACCTAAGGACTTGTCTTGGAATTGGGCGCTCGTCGGAACTGGTACCACACATAAGATCTCTCTCCCTCCCTGGAATATAAAGGTACACAAGGAAGTCTACGCTGGAATTAAGATGCTGGAATTAATGAACCACTATTATTAAGATGCAGGAATATTCTAAGTCCACCTCTCCCCCTATGACGCTATGGAATTAAACTAAGAGGAAAACTCCCAAGTCCCATAAATCCCAATGAATCATTGCCTTAATTTACTTTATTACATGTATCCGAATATAATAACGACAATCGTATAAATTCATTAAGTATAACTATGAGCACAAGGTATTTGTGACAGTGGTGATATAAAGATGTTGTAAATATTTGAAGTACATGCATTAATAAAAATTGACCATTTTCTTTTGTCTTAAAACTGAAACTATGAGTCTATAAACACTTTGTCTTTCTTCTTGACTGGTACTCCGTCATAAGTCGTATATTTCGACGAAACGAACGTAAATAAGTATTGTAGCTTCCCCCGTCTTTCCTCAAATAAAAGATAAGATCTAATTACTCTAACCGCTCGGACATGCATTATAAATAATGTCGGCTGACGAATATCCTGACAGATATAAAGAATCAGTTTCCCCAGCTGGGAATGAGAATAATCCCGACGTAGAGGTCGAGGTTGGAGACGGAGGCGGGGGCGGCCGCCACAATACCTATAAGATAAAATTGTATTCAAACTTACAATTTGCACATATACAATGATGTATATAGGTATTTATGCAGTTATTTATGAGCCAAAAATGTTACTTGGGCTAAGCCAGGAAGTAAGTGAACACAACGCAAGTGACATGGGATGTTAATCCATTAAATCCTGGGGAGGGGTGTCCACCCTGCCACTCCGGCCCGTGAGAGAAAATGCATTTTACTGTTTTACATTAATATAGGGCCCTTCATTTTTGTTAGGTATCTATATATGCCATTGATTAAAAAAATATATATATTTTATTAAATAAATGAACGGTTATGAACCTATAGGCCTACAAAAACCCAAACACAACACGATAGACCGTGCCCTACCAAAATCGTATCTATTATGAATGGCTTGACAATTGACGTGTATGCAGGGTGTCCCTGAAAAAGGGAAACCCACATTTACAGGTAAATAACTCGATACTTTCAAAGTATTCCTTGAAAGCTCAATATCTTTTCTTACATACGACACCAAAATTATGATTAATAATTAAGCCCCCTATGATTAATTACAGAAAGCCAGAAATGACATGTCACTGTCAGAAACCCAATAGTTCAAAGTAAGTGGATCGGTTGTTCCGCTTATGTCATTATGGTTTTGAATTGATATAGAATGTTAGAAATTAAAAATTGTGGAAGATAATTATATACACGTCATTGAAAAGTTCATGATTATGTACAAATCATTGAAATTAAAATTGGACATTTTTTGCCCCTTTTCAGGGACATCATCTCTGTTTAATGAAACCGATGGAATTATTGCATAAAGTGACAGTGCTAAAAAAGGCAAAAAGCATGGAATTCATGCCTTTTCTTTCATTAATATTTTCTTTCTTTCTTTCTTGCATTCATTCATTCTTCCCTTCTTCTATTTTGGATCGCGTGAAAAAAATTTGGGCAGCAGCCCCTAAGCCACCCGCTCCACCCATATACGCTAGTGCAGATTATATGCGTTTATGTTAATATAAAACAAATCAAACAAATTTTGAAAAATAAAAGAACAATAAAGTTTGAATCCATCCTTTATCAGAGCTTTTAGTAGAAAACGTTTTATCAAACTGAACTGACTGATATATATTTTTTTTTACCAAATGAAATATGACCATCAATAGCTGCTTGGGAGAAAGTAAAAACCTGTTTCTAAGTTAGCCGTCAGTGGAGTAAATTTTGAATGATTAGTATTGAAAGCACAGTTTCAGCCAGTTGCATTTAGGGTATTATTCCCTAATACAATTAATCATTGGATAAGGAAGAATGAAGAGGAAGAGAGACAGAGAGAGAGAGAGAGAGAGAGACTTGAGAGTGGAGAGAATTAGAGAATAACTTCAATATACTAAAGCGGCATTGTAAAGCCACTAGGCTAACAGAAGGTGTGTCAAGTCATTGTGAAACAAAAGCAATCATACAACCCAGGGATGATGTGGACGGCTTTAATAAGTCAACTTCATGCCTGCAAAAATGAGAAAAGTAGACAATTAAAGAAAAAGACAACTAGATATAATTCAATAAATTCATTGTTTCTCGATTCAGCACACGGCTTCGGGACATCTCTTATATTCTATGAATAAGTGAAGGAAAACAAGGTTTAAAAAAGAAAATGAAAATTGGCCCAGATAGTGCAGATTATATGCGTTTATGTTGATATAAAACAAATCAAACAAATTTTGAAAAATAAAAGAACAATAAAGTTCGAATCCATGATCCTTTATCAGAGCTTTTAGTAGAAAACGTTTTATCAAACTGAACTAACTGATATATATTTTTTCTTACCAAATGAAATATGACCATCAATAGCTGCTTGGGAGAAAGTAAAAACCTGTTTCTAAGTTAGCCGTCAGTGGAGTAAATTTTGAATGATTAGTATTGAAAGCACAGTTTCAGCCAGTTGCATTTAGGGTATTGTTCCCTAATACATGGCAAAAATCATTGGATATGGAAGAATGAAGAGGGAGAGAGAGAGAGAGAGGGAGGGAGGGAGAGAGAGAGAGAGAGAGAGAGAGAGAGAGAGAGAGAGACTTGAGAGTGGAGAGAATTAGAGAATAACTTCAATATACTAAAGCGGCATTGTAAAGCCACTAGGCTAACAGAAGATAGGAAGGTGTGTCAAGTCATTGTGAAACAGAAGCAATCATACATCCCAGTGATGATGTGGACGGCTTTAATAAGTCAAGTAAGTCAACTTGATCATGCCTGCAAAAATGAGAAAAGTAGAGAATTAAAGAAAAAGACAACTAGGTATAATTCAATAAATACATTGTTTCTCGATTCAGCACACGGCTTCGGGACATCTCTTATATGCTATGATTAAGTGAAGGAAAACAAGGTTTAAAAAAGAAAATGAAAATTGGCCCAGGGACCACCCCCCCCCCCCCTTCACTTCCCTTTCCCCTTTAGACCGTACCCGTCGACACATTTAATTTAGTATAGGCCTATATAATACATCATCATTATTATTAGTAATTGAAAATTATGCAATAAAACATTTTAAATGAGAAAACATAATCAGCTATAAACCAATTCCATTGCCCATCATATATTCGATGGATCTATTTATTACATAATTGTCGCTATAATCGCGAAATAATTACTAGCTCTTCTGCATATAGCACTATAACTTGGTCGATAATTTCTACCAAAGTAACGTCCGTCAGCTCCATAGAGATATATACTTAATATTAAGTATATATCTCTATGGTCAGCTCATATCAGAATGCAGAATACAGCGTCGTTCGCGATCCTCGCCAATCCTAGCCCTGCGATCCTGGCGCGCTGGTTGGGCCCCTATAGTGAACGCCTCGCATTAAATCCGACATTTCCCCACTGCACTCTCGCTCGACGCGCGGGACAATTTGAAAGGAGCAGTCGACCCCCCTCATATATAAATTGAAAATAACAGTTAGCCGTATGAAAATTGAGAGGTATTTTGTTCACGACGTCGATGTTAAAGGTATGACATTACTTTGGGACCATGAGATGATTAAATGTTGGATACAAATTGAAAATACAGGTATTTTAAACAAATTGTGTTGTCTTGTTGTGTCTTGTGACAGTTTTTATCAATGAATGAGTCTGAAAGTGAAACTATGTAGATTCTAGGCCTAACTGAATGATTAATGTCAGCCTTCTGAACCTTCTGAAATTGGAGTCAGCAGGGCGGTATTCCGCATGTCGCTAACTTGTATGGCAGGTGATGCATGCTAGAGTGTGTTTCTGAAATTATCAACTGATGTAGCTATTACAGACTGCTGGTCGAGGGTATTCCAATTCCATGCTCGTCCAGTTCTTGGAAAAAAGGAGTATTTGTAGACCTATACGTCTTTTCTGGCAAAGGGGATTTCTATTGAGTGATGGTGGTTTCTTCTTAACCTTGACCCTATCATGCTATTGATACTTGTATGTAGTCCTCTTGCTTTAGGCCCACCTTTCCCTTGTAGATTTTGTACAGCATAACCAAACGACTCTTTTCCCTCCTGCGTTCAAGTGATTCCCATTCAAGGCAGGTCTGCATTTGTGTGACACTGCTGTCCCTTTGGTAGTTTCCTGTTACGAAGCGTGCCGCCCTCCTTTGAACTGCATCCAGTTTATTAATCTGCCCTATCCTGTATGGGTCCCAGGCACAGCTTGCGTATTCTAACACTGGTCTCACTATCGTGTATGCGATGGCTTTCACATTCCCTGGGCAAAACCATAGGTTTCTCCTGAGGAATCCTAACATGCGGTTGGCTTTCATGGCTGTGTTGTCAACATGGTTCGCCCACGTCAGTTTACTGTCTATTTCCACTCCCAGATAAGGATGAGAGCTTGACCTATGTTGACTTGGCTCTAGAAGTTATGACAATGTCAATGAGAATGATGAGACATTGATGATAGTGAGCATTTGAAATGAATATGGTAGGCATGGGCGAAATTGTACAACTTGCAGTCCTGTTGATCATAATGTTAGTGTTGGCTTTTTGTTTTAGGATGGTTCTCGGGCAAACTAAAAATCTACATCAACTGTTTGCCAACTCATAGTCAAAGTCAAACTTTCAAGACTATTTTATAAAGTGTGAAGATAATTAGATAGATCTATGTGTACAAGAGCTGCTGCATGCTGATGATTCTGCTTCTGTGGCACACTCTGAATGTAGAGCTGCGTGCAGTGCCTTGTTGGCATTACCATCAATGGTAAAAGAGAACACATACAAAATGAGTCACTTCTACGTCAATACAGATCAGTAGGAGAATACACCCAATGTGACGATGGCCTGTACTTGTAGCAAAGGAGAAGAAGAATGAAAATCCAAAAGGAGAAACTTGATAAAGGGTCACATGACTTTGCGCCGCTGCCCAGAGAAACTGAAACGATTTACAAATAAGGACGGGAGCATTGTGTGAAGACCGTCTTGGTCAACTAAACTCCCTGTTCTGTATGCTCTACGACTACTGTGCCCTTTTGAAAGCTTGCTAGTGTAAAAGGACAATAGAGATGGATAGAAAGATCCGTCTGTCATGTCATAAAGGAGTTTTAAAATATATTTAAGACATTTGTCTTTTGAGTTTCGATGCTATCAGTGAGGTCAAATATTTGGTGCGCAGGTTTCTTTGACAGTTAAAGAGCTTCCCATCATAGTTATACAACAATGTATTGACTACTATAGTATAGGCTTCCTATCTAAACTAATCATTTCTAATGTCCTCCAGTTAAAAATCAGTCTAGTATTTTGGAGGACTAATCATCCAAGTACCAATGGAGCTCTAAACAAAAAAAATTACCTGGAATAACTTATGACAAGTAAACAAGGCAATATAGATAAGAGTAGTGAGGATTCAGTGCTAATACTATGTGCATATTTTATTTTTCATACGTTTTCAATCCACAGAAAGTGAAGCTGGCACAAAAATAAAGTTGGAGGGATCTGAATCATCATGGATTCTAGCAGTGATACAGAGCCTATGTCGGCTGGTGAATTAAAATCAAGGCTCTACCAGACTTTCAGAGAAAGGGGATTGGTCGAATCACTCAAGGTATGTTAGATGATTGCCTGAATTTCTCTCCTTTTTCAAATTCAGAATACTTTTTCAAAAGTATGTATTTTTAGTTCTTTATCATGTGATGTGATTTTATATAGCATAGAAAGCGTGGTGGAAGGGAAAGTAATATAAAAACATAAATACCATAATCACCAAAATAAATATGCCTGTAACAACTGCATTTTGTAAATAAGAATTTGAAAGTGTAAAATTTAGGTTTCAAAGGGAGCCTTAAAAAAAGAGAACATTATATCAGGTTTATTATTTTCATTTTTTCACAAGAAATGATTACAGCAATAAACCGATAACCTAGCTAGTCTTTGTAGGATATGATAAAGTTAAAGTTTATCTCAAATTTTCTAATTATCAAGGTGTTCACTTTGGGAATAAAAATACAGTCTACCCGGTAATATATTTTTCACTGTCTGTTTTTATCTGAAATAGTCGCAGCTACGAACCAAGCTTGTGACAGAACTGAGACAGAGTGCCAATTTACAGCATGTCAAGTTTGCCTCAAGTCCGTCAGCAATCGTAACGGCTTCCCTCGATGGCTCCTCATCACTCATGCTAAGAGCTGCCAACTCTCTGGTCGCCGACCACCTGAGACGAGGTGGCTATGATTACTCAGTTGCTGTCTTTTTGCCAGAGAGTGGAGCTGCAGAAGACAAGGTGTGTTATAATTTTAGAACAAAATTTCAGGACTTTCCCACTTTACTTTATACATGTATGTGCCAAATGTGTATAGATATTTAAACGGTCCTTTAATTTTTAAGAAATTTTGTTTTTAAAAAAATGGTTAAAAAGAAAGTTCAGCATTTCGTAAATTCAACATCTGATGAGCCAACCCAAACAGCTTTTTCCTCAGAAAATGTTATAGTTTTGACACTAATTGCAGATTTATTGGAAGGAAATATAAAGCTATATGTATGACACTAAATAGCAAAATATAGACATTCATGTTTTGAATGTGTATCAACTTTTTACCTTTTGATACAGCATAAGAGCCAATGAAATTCTTAGCATTTTGTCATAGTTTAATTTAATTAGTCTGAAATATCCTCCTGTATCTCAATTGTATGAATTTCCTTCTTTCTTTCTTTTTCTCATGATTTTTAAATAGTTGTTCACTGTACCAGACTTGTTAGATCTTCTGAGAATTGCTCCAAGCTCTCAATTGTACAAGAAGTTGGTAAGAAATTGTTTTTAATATGAATATTTGTATCTTATATACTATTACATGTATGTCTGTTAATGTGCAATTTCTTTGAGAAAAATTAATATAAACTTTCCTGAACATTAGAGGGGGGGGGGGGGGGGGGTGGTAGGTGGCAGCATCAGCAGCAGCATCATTGCTTCCATGAATAGGTTATATAAAGATATTTATTTCCTAGTCGATTAGATAAAGTGGGTGCAACTTTTTTCATTTCATAAACCACAGAAAAACTATTCATACATTCCAATGAGATTTTGTGGTTTGGATGAATTAAACTTCCAGTAATATTGTCAAACCTACATGTATGTAGACCATTATAAAAAGGAATCAAACTGGTAAATAATTATACAAGAACCTTCATCATAAAATCTTTTTATTGTTTTGGGGTTCCTGAATTCTTGTCACATGGCGGAATGTACAGTTTGTTTGGAAATGTAGCAGTCTAATTTGTGGTGCCTTTTTTTCTGTTTCACTGCATGTTATCATTTTGAGATTATTATACTTTTAACAATATAAATTACTGATTTTTGCTTCTGTTTTAGGCTGCTGAACTCCCAAGATATGATTCAAAAGGTAAGAATTTTGTCAAGAATGTTCCTGACAGAGATCAGTATGATTGGGAATCACACAAAACTAACATCTAGGGGAAAGAGAACAATGTTTAGTTACTGAGCAGATAGAGATATAAATAAAGATTGAGATAAGGGTTAATTTAATTCCTTCCAAGCTATATCCTAGATCGATCTTGAAAAACTTAATCTCTCATATCGGGTTCTAAACATCAGTTACTCTTTAACTGTCAGGATGATTTTGCTCTGGCATAGTTTGTATTACAGCAGTTGTCCACTTCTTGCTATTCAGTGTTAAGGGCATGTCACCTATTTCCCATGCATTCCATTTTCTGTAAACTTTTACCCTTCTATATGTTCGCATTGATATGTAGGTAACACTGCCTTGAACGATGTGATCGTCGTTATCTGACTGTTATACAGTTAACAAGAAAATTGTTCATATCCCTTGTAAATTTGATAGTTTTAGTGTTTTTCATAACTCAAAAATGACAGGTGTACTGGTTGCATTAGGGTTTTTGTTGAGTACTTCTAGATGCAAGCTTTAATATGCCACATTTCTCAAGAAACATAAATCAGGATAAATCACTTAAAAAATTACTAAACTTGGTGAGGGTATAAACAATTTAGTAACGTATATAAAAAGAAGCTTTGTATGTACATTTTATCAACAGGATTCCTTTGGCAGCTATTAACAGAGTTGAGTGCTGGTCAGGCAAGAAAGCAGGAGCATGTAGGCATACAGGTTGATGCACACCCAATGCACCAGTCTTCCATAGGTCAGTCATATATATTATAACAAGGGTAATGGGTTTTCCTCTAGGTTATTCTTATTTTGTATGCTTCATTTCATTGAAGGTAGTTATAGAAGGGTGTCAGGCTAACTCTGACCAAAGACAACTCGGCCCAGCTGCAAAAACCGTCAGTTTTTGACCGTTCTTGCAGGTTTAGGGTTTAGGGTAAAATGACAAAAAATGACCGTTTTTGCAGCTGGCCCGAGTTGTCTTTAGTCCGAGTTAGCCCGGATCCTTATAGAAGCTATATATTTGTAGGTTGTCTGTCCGGCATAAATCCATTTGTTCATCCAGCTGTCTTGTTTTGGGATCTGTTTGAACGACTATGTATATGACTTTCAAGTATCTAACTGGTATCAATCTAACTGTCTTATAAAGAGTTGATATCAATCGCAACTTATCAATCGCAACCATGTACATAAGAGATAGGAGACTGTAAACTTGCGATTGATTGGAGGACTTACAATTGATTTGGATCAATCGTAACTCTTTATAAGACGGGGCCTTGATCATGATATTGTGCTTCATGCATGAGGAATTGTTGACTTTATACCGACAGAGAGAAAACTGCAGAATGTTGATGATGCATACAAGCAGAAATCAGAGGAGGATGACATTCTGAACAGACACGCCATCCAAGAGAGTCTACTCAAACTAAAACGTGAGATGGAGATCAAGTCCAGAGAGGAGATTAATCGAGAGGTACAATTCATTATGTAATACAATTTTGAAGGGAACCCATTGCCAAAAGTAGTGTAGTATGTGTAAGGTTCAATGCCATTGTAATGTGTTGAATGTTCATAATTTCAGTTTTAGAAGTTAAGATATACTTTGATATTGAAAGTTAATCTACAGTCCAATGAAGGAAAAAGCTATGTGTGAGTTGCTTTGTGAGACTGGTAAATGCATCTATACTTTATATACATGCACAATGTACACTAAAGTTTACTTTGAGGAACTTCCAAGTGGGCATTTTTGTTGTTGGGGGGGGGGGGGGGGCTGATGGTATGTGCTCTAACACAAATTTATATTTATGGGACACATTATTGGTCCCTCTTTGTTTTATAAAGGTAGCTTCAAAATCTAAATATATTGACCAAATTAGTGAGAAGTAACTCTAAAGAGAAATAAAAAAGAATGTGAGTTTCGGCTTTCTGCTTCATTCTTGCTTAAGTCTTGCGAAAAGCTTAAGTATGGCTCTTTTTAACGTGATTCTCCGAGAATATGAGTTTGTTGTTTTCAGAGTTGTAAAGTATCGAGTGAGATTGTTTTAAATGTACAAGGGTTATTTCACAGCACCCTTTCTTATGTGTACCCTGCAAGTTGGTACCCTGTCTATAATTTTATGATTGTGCTTCATTGCGTCTAAGAATTCTGGAAGGTATTCATTGTTTGAATAGGATACTTGTTACAATGGGTCTTTTGATTTCCAGATTTCCAGGTTTAAAGAGAGTTCATTGAAACGTGTCGAGCTGGAGGAGAGGGAGAAAGCTCGTAAAGAAATTGCAAGTGCTAGAAGACAGGTAGGGATTTAACCTTTATAATAAATCAGTTTGTTTGTCTCATAGTGTCATTAAGCAGCACTTTTCCTTCCTCTTTATTCATCATTTTCTTAGATGTTTTCATTTTTTTGGATTGATTTGTCACTAATTTTGATTGAGACATTTATTATATAAAAATGAAGAAGAAGACTTATGCACAAAGACTTGTGCATGTTAGGTCACTCTTGAAAAAAGAAAAAAAAAAGGAAAGAGCAGTTACATTGCATATTTTATGGTATTTTATTAATTCAACCGTTATTCAATCCTTTGACATGATAAGATTACCGGAAATTAGACAACTCAACAAAAGGAAATATTCCATGACAAAGAGGCTATGGCTCTGTGTAATACATACAGTCAAACCTGCTTTAGTGACCACCTGTCTACAAAGTCCACAATTTTTGTAGGCTTAAAAATGTTTTCTCATTGAAACATGTACTAAAGGAATCTGTCTACAAAGACCACTTTTTGTGTTTCCCTTGGGTAGTCGCTATAGACAGGTTTGACTGTACATTGTATCTTACATTGGCCACCCAACAACAAAGGAGACGCACTTGAAAACACCTGCATAAATTTGAATAAAATAATTTCACAATGTGAAATAGGGCACAAGTCTATTACAGACAGACAGATTCTGTGGAAAGCAAAATGCCAGTTTTGTAACTAAACACAATTTACTTTAAAAAAAAAATTTTTTTAAATTTCAATTCAATTCAAAGTTTATTCAACACTTGGATAACTTACAAGCTTAGATAATTAATAGGAATGTGTGGTTGTTTGTCAGATTGATCTAATCATATCGAGGTTGTATTTATCTAGACAATTTAAAGCAACCATTACAACAGCATTGATATCTCACAGACGTGCACTTTGGTGGGTGAATAATATTAACAGAATACATGTATGTGGAATAAAAGTGTTAGGAATTGCCAAAATATGATTGTAATGGCTTGAATGTCTATTTTGGTGGGAATATGTAAAACAGAAAACGTATAACAAAAGTTATTTTTCTGTGACTTGTAGATAGAGAACACATACCAAGCAAAGTCAGATGCACTGAGGGATCGAGAGCAATCTACCATGGAAAGGATACAGAAACATCAAGAGGTAAATACATCAAATTGTTTGGTTATTGCTTTATAATTTATTTTTGTTTTATTTTATTTTTTTGAATATTTTTTTTATTTATTTATTTATTTATTTTGCATCATTTTGAATTGAATAATAATAACAAATCTCAATTTCAAATATCACTCCTCCTTTAAACATGTATCATTCTGTATTTTAAATAGGATTAACTTTCGTGCACTGTATTGACCTGAGTTCAATTGACATGATTTGTGTTTTATCCAGTTGTTTTTGAGAGATCATATCTGATTTTTGTCCAAATATTTCTTCACCTGTACAGTTAGTTGAGAAGGAAACCTATGCCCAGAGACAGAGCCTTCTTGATGAGCTTAGAACCATTAAACAGAGGGAGGCAGGTATCAGAAGAGAAGCAGAAATCAATGGAAGGCGAGTACCATGAAGTAAAATTGATTCGACACTTTTTTTTTTGTATTGTGGTTGCTTTTGTTGAATAACCCAGGACAGAGTAAGTCATGTGTTAAGTCTATGGGGAATGCGCAAATACAGTTGTCAATTCTTGAATTCTCATCCAATCATCCTGTGGCTATGTTAAATACGTGCTTTCATTTAAAATACAATCAACATATCTCCTTAACTGACTCATTGTATGAGGTTTTCCCAGACACCTCATTTCCTGATATAGAGCTACTTTGTTGCAAAAAAGATTTCTACCGCACATCCGCCTTGGCAGGAAATTGTTTATGCTAAGTGAAAATTAGGTAAAATATGTCCCTTATAGAATCAAAACACTTTAAAAGTATGCATCCACATTTTTATTAGCCTTATTGATACCCTTTTGGGGGAAAAAAATTTCTTTGCATGTTTTAGTAAAATCCCACATGCTTAAACTAGCATCAAGAGTGATGCACTTTTGTAATGATATTTTATTATTTAAACAAAAGTTTATTTAGATATCTGATTTATTTATTTATTCTGTAATTTAATCCAGGGCTGCCAAGATGGAGGAAGACAAGAGGAAAGCCATGGAAGAAAACCTGAGAATGAGAGAGGCAGCTGTAGCAAACATAGAAACAACTTATGAAAATAGACTCAAGGAAGAAACAAAAAGGTTTGTTTTATAAGTTAGTTTAATCAATGCTTTTGAAGAAGAAGGCAAGATTGGCATAAAATTCAACATTTGGATTTGTCACATTTTATATTGAAGGAAAATGATTTTTGCTATGACATGGATTTTAAAACCATGTGCTAGCTTTTGCCAATAAATAAATTTGAAGGTGTTTTATGATTTGTGCAGGCTGGCTGGTGATTTAAAAACTATTTGAAATTTTTATTTTTTAAATAAATGTGATATGAAATTCATAATATTTCAGTTCATTGTTTATGATCTAGTAACATGTTGTGCTAGATTAATTTTTTTTTTTTTTTTTAATAATTTTTATTGGCACTTAAATGAGCTTATTTAAATTTTGGGGAAAATTCTGGTTATTGGTGTGTGTATAATCAGACCCCTGGAATATGATTCTTAACAAAACTTCAATGATTTTATGCAGGTATGAGCTTGATTATGAGGCAAGGCTTGCCAAGAGACTGAGTGAGCTGGAGCAGAGAGAAGCCAAAATAAGAGGTAACATTCTTGGAGATAATTACTTCCTTAAACTCCCAAAGTCATGGAAAGTCATGGAAATTGATGTTCAAACTGACAATACGTGTGGTATTCGTAAGCTGCTTGACTACCACAACCCATACCAAAATGGTACTTTAATATCTGGTCATGGAAATCAAAAAGGAATAAAAATCGGTCATGGGATTTTTTATGCTATGAAATGCAGAAGTAGCTATATGTAGTCCTTGCGAAGTGTATTGTAAACAAACGCTGTTGTGTACACGGCAAAAGGGTATTAACTTATGGGGGTTTATAAAGTAATGGAATCAATGCTATCAATTTGGACGATGCACTGATTGAAATGTGTTATGTAGATGAAGTAAAAGAAGAACTACGATTACTTACTTTCTAAAGTCAGAGATGCCAACCGTTACGGTTTCGCCGTATTTGTTACGGTTTTAATGCTCTTGTTACGGCGTTACGGTAAACAATCGAAAGGTTACGGGGAAACGATAAACAAAAGTACATTATAGCGAATGCCGCCTTATCACATAGCCTCCGTACACAGCGCTGCATGTCGCACGCATTTACACATAAGTTCACTGAATTTGACTACACTGGATAGACACTTTTGCGCACATGGTCCGTCCGCCGCCATCTTGTTTAATTCTGAAACAACACGGCCGCTACAGATGCTACGTGTGGTCGTGCCTTTTGGGGGAGCATGGGGGTAGATGATCGTGCGCGCGGCGCCCGCAATACCCATTCATAGTATAGTAGCGAAGACTTCGGTGATTCAGCGGGCGCATTGTAAGTGCGATATACGGTGTGTTGTTGTTCATGAACGCCGGGCCTAGCGGCCTGGGCTGGTGTGTCTGTGGTACTGGTGAGTGAACGTGTGCGTGTGTAGGATACGAGTTCTGCATGCTGTTTGACTGTGGATTCGAATTTGCCATTTGACGCTTGAATGACGTGTTTTCTTCCTGAATATTATCATGGATTCACTCAAAAGAGCGAGTACCCAAGGAGGAGATCCTTTGACAGGAAACAGATTTTTAAAAACGTTTTTATGCACATCTTTATTTTGGACTTAAAAATGGTAGGTTCGAAATGCAGTAAGAGTGATTGGGTGTTTGTGTACGTTTTGCGCGAAAATTATGCTGCGGTGTCTTGCGTTACGGAAAGACCCCCATTTGTTACGGACAAATATGGTAAATGTTACTGACAGCCATCCTATAGGGTTGGCATCTCTGTAAAGTGTATATCAGTTATCTGCGCATTAATTTGCATCCTTCTGCCAGACACACAGTGATATCTAGCCATTCCAAATTTAACTTGTTTTCCAGCTGAACAGAGAAGTATGATTGACGACAAGGAGACCCTGAAATCAACAAAGGAACAACTCCATGGAAAAACAAATCACATTTTAGAGTTAGAGGTGAGTTATTAATAATATGGCACAATTATACCTTAAATCTCTCTTTTTTTTAAAAGCTGGGCACTACAAAATGTTTTGTGAATATTGAAATGATTTGTATAGTTTTATCAGATTAGTGCTTCCCTGAGTCAAATAACATGATTACATCAAAGAAATATACTTATCTATGTGCTTCATTATTGATTGATTAATTTATGAATTCATTATAATGAAGTACCTGTAATTCCATCTTTAAATGAAGAATTTTGATAAATTAATTCAAAGTACAGTGATTATTGTAGAGAGACATATGTTTACCCATTTTAATTTTTACTCATAATGATAATGATTTTTATGTTTTATGTAGGTTTACAGAGATTTACAATTGAGGTTGGTGAAGTCCAATATAAAATGCTAGCTCTTCAAACTATGAATGGATTTTTAGAAAGAATTTAATGAGTCATAATTTTAAAGAATTAGAAAAGTTGAAAATGCAATAAGAGTATTGATTCCAGTACATTTTGAATATTTACAATCTTACACTTTCTGAAAAGGCTTAATTTGAAATCTAAAAATAATAAATCACCTAGATTAGTGATGTATGTTAGTTTCATTTTGAAGGTTTTGCAGGGAAAATGGTTCTGCTGTGATAAGAAATTAAGAATACTGATTAGTTAAAGCTGAATCAGTGAAAAAAAAGTCCATCAATTTACTCCTTGGAATTTATAATTTTCTTTTATTATCAGAATCTCCTAAAGGAAGCAAAAGCAGAGGCTGCATCAGCTGCTAATAGGAGTGACTTGGTAAACGAGAGAATGAGAACAATGGTTGATTATCCTACACTGAAAGATAGCAACACCATTCTCAAACGAGATCTGGAACATGCGAAAATGTGAGTTTTCAAACTAAGTGTTTTATTTAAAGAGATGGATGGATGAATGGTTAGATAGAAAAAATAATGTTGGATATATTGATGGATGGATGGATTGCTGGAATAGGTGGATGGAGTGATTATTTTTAAACAAGATGGAAGGATGAAGAAATTGATAAAAAGATAGCGTTCGATAGATTGATGGGTAGATATATTAACCCTATCTTAACCAGGCTTTTTCATACCAGGTTTTTACCGAGGGGGGTCAATTTGACGCCCCCACCAAAGATCTCGGCCGTTTCAGAGTCGATCGCCGCGAAAATTTGCATGCATGTCAAGTGAAGTGTATAAAATACTACGGTAATTTCAATTCTTTGAAAAATTCACTCATTTGCATATTTATGGTAATTTATGCACATAAGGTGATAAAATTCACATTATTATCCATAAATCATATATTCTTCATATTTCAGTATTCTTTTTCTCTACATAAATTCGTTAGACCATTTGGAATAAAAATACGACCCCAAAAATGGAAGAGCCAGGTTATGTCTTATGTTATCTCTTGTTTTGATAATTTCTTATGTATTTCATTGTTTTTTTAACTTATGTATTTTATTGTTTTTGTTGTTTTATTTCATTTCTAACTACAATTCTACCATTTTGACCCCAAAACAAACACCTTAACTTTAAACAAGATTTCCATATGTTTTGTACACAAATCCCAAAAATGAGCGATTTTCGGGCTGACATGCAAAGACAAAAGGTCATGTGACTTTGTAACTATACGTCAGATTTTCAAAAATATTGTTTTAAAAGATGCGTAAGACTCGAAAGAAAAACTTTATATCTGCCGTGGTTCCGGAGTAGTCGCTAAATTACTACAGAGTGTCAAATTGACCCCCCCCCCCCCTGATTGACATAGGGTTAATGGATAGATATATGAATTAATGTATTGCTGCAAAGAGTGATGAGTTTTTGATTAGATGGATTGATGACTAGATCAAAATATTGATATAGAAAAGTTGATGGATGGATGGATAATGATTGATAGGTAGAAGAATGGCTGTCTGGATAGACTGATGGATTGATGGATATTTAGAGGAATCGATGGCTTGATTGATTCTAGGTAGATGAATAGATTGATGGCTGGAAAGATAGCTACTGTAGCCGGATGGATGGATGGATCAATAATTTGATTAAACGATACATGGATGGTGGGTCCAATTACATTTCTCATGCTGTGTTTGTTTTCCTGAAGTATTTATGATATAAGTGTATCCTGTGCATGCAGGCTTGGAAAGACAGATGATTTAATATCTTTTAAATCCTGTATTACTGTACTTTAATGATAATTGCAGTTGAACTATGGGAGAAAACTTTAAAACATATTTTCAAGTACATGTACTTTCAATGTTTTATAATGAGCATTTGGGTAACTAACAACACTGAACATGTCAGCTTAATTAATTAATGTCTCGCAAATATTATGGGCTGTTTAACATGGCCTTGATCAAACACCAAAGCACTCTTTGCAATATCGAGTAAGTGCACCCTTTTAATCAATGTGTAATAGCAAAGCCATTACAGACTTACTTGCTTGCATCATATTAGGAATGGAGAGAGGCTGAATTAAATGCATTTGGAGTCGTAATCAATTCAAAATAGACCTACACGGTACTCTCTACATTATCAAGTACTTAAATCAATGGGAAAAGAAGCAGAAAAATTAGAGAAAGAGATCAGTAAAAAATTTGAACAAAATCTGATAAACAAAATTATTTATTTGAAGTTGTAGTTGATCAAACTCAAATTGGCAACTCTGTGACCTACCTTCTGGGACCTCTCCATTTGTTCTCTACTAGAAAAATAAGAAATATCAATTTTCTCTTTAGAAAATATTTAATCATATATGCCCCATAGATGTAATCATTGCACGCTATATCTTTTTACACAAACCCTGCATTAAACAAAAATATATTCCTTCATACAAAAACATAAAGAATATGGAAATCAACATATTTTTAGGATAGAGCAAATGGGAGAGGACATCACAGAAAAATTTGTGTTCAGATTAATTACAACTTGAAAAGTTTATGACTTTTTAAAATATTATCAGATTTAGCTCAAGATTTGAATTATATGTTCTTTTCTTTTCCTGCTTTTATTAAAACCAATTCAATTAGTAAATATTGGATGGACTTCCCCTTTAAGTAAGATTGCTTTTCTTCAAAGTTGGTTAAGTATGTCCAATATATGACAGATAATGATCAAGTACAATAATTAATGTAATTTATTGACTGGGTGTGTGATTTGTAGAGCAATGAGCTATAGATTGTCATCAGTGTTGTCATGGAGAGTACGGCCCTCATCTATTCTATTAATCCATCAAAATGAGTGGCATAGCATGAGATCAGCCATAAGGATGCATTGGCATTAAGGGGAGTGGGGTGGGGCGCCAGTCTTCCTAGGTTGATGAAATGTGCATCTACTAATTCACTAAGGAAAGCCTCTCAAAATTGTTGGGAGCCCCACAAATTTGGTAGCAAAATAACACTTAAATTGTATCGTAATGTGAAAGAGGATGTCAATTCAGACACATTTCTGCAAGGATTTTCAAAACAATGTGTTTGAAGTCAAATATTGAAGAAATAATACAAAATGTAGGTTTTCTGTGTACATGTACAACTGTTAACCCCAATTATGTATTCTTTTATCAAAATTGTCTTCAAACACATTTTTTGAGGGGAAATCTTTGCAGAATCATGTCTTAAAATGACATCCTCTTTCACATTATATTTAAGTAAAATTTGGCCATCAAATTTTTGGCGAATTTAGGGCTCCTAACATTTGAAAGGGGCTTTAAGAGAGGGCTTGGAAGAGGGTCCTATCATGTTTATTTCACTTTGCTTCCCCTCCCCCTCTTTATTACAGCCATTTGATTACAGGAGACATACCCCCTATGCTTCTCCTTTCTCATTCTTGCTACTCAACAGATCAAAATGTATACATTATACAAATAACAAATTATTTATATGTAATATTGTTTTGCAGAAAGTAGATCTATTGATTGTTGAGTTTATTGCCTGTTATTGTAACCTCACATCTCATCAGTAGACCTACAGTATGCATGTGGGAGAAAATACTAGAGATTTATGTTTTTTAAACGTTAAATAAAAATCAGCTAGTATAAGCAGACTAGTTGAGCAGACAAAGATAGACTGGTCTTGAGGGGATTGAGGGGAGAACTGTCAAGAATAAGGTATTGGAGATATGATTTAAAGGTGAGGATATGCAAATATTGAAAGGGAAAGGGTGAGGGGGCATTGCAAATAATAGCATGCTTATGTGGGAGAAAATACTAGAGAGGTCAAAATAAGAAAAAGAAAAAAGGAAAATAAAATGTGAATAAACAGACTAGTTGGGCAAAGTAAGAAAGGGACAAGAAAAAAGGGAGCTAGATGTGTGAGTTAAAGATGAAGACATGCAAATATTGAGAGAGAATGAGTGAGGGGGCAGTTAAAAAAAAATAGCATGGGTTTAATATGGAGCTACAAGAACAGACGGAATGATTGACAGTTTCACCCACTGCACTAATTCAAGCAAACAATCTAATATGTACAGTTAAAATTAAAGTTGACGAAGGGAAACTGGTATGACTGTCGCAAACATCAATAATTTTTTGGGCATGTGCAGAAACATGTGAATTTTATAGGAATGTTTGACAGTGAATAAAGGTTATGAATAGAAAAGAGAGAGAGAGAGAGGGGGGGGGGGGGGTGGCAGGGATAATATAGAGCAGTAGATTTTTGATGAGTCCTAGAGTAATTTATCAAGTGCTTAAGCATGAAATTGATAAGATTGCTTGAAGAGGATGAATTTTGTGGCAAATTGTGGGGAACAGGAGAAAAGAGTGGAAGTTAATTATTTCTGGTTCTTAAATAATACCGAGTGCATGTTCTAGACAACAACTGCATTCAAATAAAATTGAATGAAAAATACAGACGACTTTCATGTAACAACAAATTTAGGGTAGAGATTGTACTTAATAAAAGGTAGAGTGTGTTAGGGGAGAAAGAGAGAGAGGAAAGAAAGAAGAGAAGAGAAAGAAGAGAAGAGGAGAAATATGGAAATATGGGAAAGAGAAAGAAATGGAGAATGTACAGAAAGAAATGGATAGACAGAAAGAGAGAGAGAGAGAGAGAGAGAGGGAAAGAAAGAGAGAGAGAGAGAGAGTGCAGTAGGAGGAGGAAGGGGGGAAAAGAAATAGAACGGGGGAATAAGACTTACACTCCATGTTGAAAATCTTTCAAGATACAATTTTGAATATGTGCACCATATTGCATAATGTTTGTGTATTGCTTTCATTATTCATTCAATTAAGAACCGATACCTTAATTATACTTTAATCATTAGAATGAATATGCATAAGCTAGGTGCTAATTGGTCTGTTGACCACCAGTCAAACGATCCTTCGCTTACTTTCCGTCCATTCACTGCATGATACTGTGTATGCTCACACACATCCACTCACACATCCACACACACTCATGCATTTTCCTTGACGTTATAAGTCTGGGCATAATTGATGCTGTGTCCATTCACTCTCATTTTGTCATTTTCTCCTCATCATTTTTCTTGGCGGCGTTGCAGGCGTATCGCAGAGCTGGGAAGCGAATACAAAGGAGAGCAGACGAGTAAGTCTTTTTGTACTTCTTGTATTTTTCTATTGACTTTCTTTTATATCTACCTGTTGTGTTTTTATTAGGAATTTTTGTTTAAAGTTGTCAGCTAATCTAATGAAATGTTGTGAGTCTTTGTGCTTTGTGAGAAAGTATGAAATAGGCCTAGCTTATTCATGTGTGTGACATGTTTTTTTTTTTAAATAAATAATTTATATATCCATGATCAAGATCTCTTCATGGCTGCTTTAAAAAAAATATCTCTTTCCTTTGTATGTTGATGATTATCATTGGTGTTAATGATGGTGAATGGTGATGATGATGTTGAAGATGATTAATTTTGATCATAATGATTATTTCATTTGTAACCCATTTATATTTTACAAAGTCTGCTATTCTTATTTTTGAGGTTCCATCAAATTCATATTGTTCATAGTATTTGGATTCATTGATTGAATATCAGATGTGTCTCTAATCTCTATTGAATATACAGACTCAAATATTATAGATATGTAGATGATTTTCATCAATTGATCATGATTTCATGTGGCTTGTTCCTATCTAGCTAAAGTAAATAGATTATTTATTTTCTCCTATAAGGTCAATTTTCATTACATTAATGAACTTATTGAGCAGTGGGAGAATAGCTTTATATGTGACGAGTGATTTTCTTCAATCTAGTTCTGTTGTTCAGTTGTTGTTCTGTTCCTAAAGTCAATTGATAAACCAATTGATTAATTAACTGACTGACTTTTTGAAGATTATGATTAATTGAGTAATTAATTGATAGATAAATGTAATTAATTGTAAGTTTCAGATATATATTTATCATAATTTTCATTTAATTTTATATCGAATGTAAATAATAGATTGATAAAGTGGATGAGCAAATTCATATCATTTTATGATTAATTGGTAAATATAAATCAATTTGTTGAAAATGAAGAGATATCATTTCTAAGAAACCATTTTGAAAAATTCAGTCCTTTTTTTAGTTTAATATTTTGTTTCCTTTTTATACATAAGATATACACTCAAAGAAACCTTTTATTATTATTAAGAGTAAAATTGTTTTCCCAAGCTGTAGTTCTAAGATCCCACTTTTCCTCAAATTTGAAATGGCCCCCATAAATTGAAAAAGAGATTTTGCTTATGTTGATATTGACATTGAAATCATGTAGCTACATGAGTAAATGTACATGTATCTTGGCTAGCTGGTTGGTGTTGGGTTTGTGATTTTTATATTTTTTATTCTCTTTAATACTGTGCCAAGGTTTTTTTTACTTGTTTCAAAATTGTACGTAAACATGAACAATGCTTACTTTTCAAACACATGCACTTCTTTTATCACTTATATCACAAAATGTTGTGTTCAAAAAAAGGTTATAGAAAATTAACTTACCTTTCTATTGATACCAAACATGCAACCTTTAATCATTTGAAAAACAAAAAAGTTTTTATTTACCCGGTAGCTTTTTTTTAGTACTTTATGTTTCTGTTTCTCGTTTGTTTACTACTTTAGTATTGAAAACGAGAAGAGATCATTCACAAAGTCTGCAATTTTCTGAAAAAGTCTAGGGTAGCATATACTTAGTACCGGTAATTGTTGGATATTTAGAATGCTTGATTCACGCTCTTAACATTGGTATAAGTCATCAGTCATTTTCATATTTCTTGGTGGAGCAATGTATGGTTTAAAGTAGTTCAATTCAATTCATTTCAATAATGGTCTGTTAATGCAATCCAAACATGTTTGCACAAATCATTTTACATGAAAATTAGCCGCAGCTGGATCAATCATGTCTATATGTTATGTGGGCATAATGAATTTGTACATTTAGTTTTTTTTAAAGATAAGAACATGATTTTGAAAAACAAGCAGACAATATGATTAACAGAGTGATTTTAAAAAAGGGCATTCTCAGTTTACATAGTAAAAAGAGATATTGCACAATAATCTGACTACGAATGAATTGCATTTGCGCTAGTCTAAAAAATAATAAATACAGACATGACAAGAAGACTAGTACTATGCCAGAAGTTTAGTTCTCATCCTATGTATGATACAAATAATAGAACCATTCAACTATGATTAACTAAATTGATCAAATGAGGTAATTGAAACATTTAGTTTTTGCATTTGAATTGGTAGTAAATAGGAACATGACATAATGATACTTGTTTTTTGTTTTCTGGGAGGTAGCCAGGTCTGGCGAACATGGTGGATAATGGTGATTCTATTTTGTCACGAATATTTTTTTTAATTTATTTAGGTTTTATTTCCACATTAACTGCATATGAAAAGAATTTACAAAGTAAGGCATATACAAGGTAACAAAACATTTACATAATATTCTATTGATACAACAGTAATAAAACAATGTAATGGCAAGTCATTAAATACATATGATGCTAACAATTATCTGCAGTAATGAGGAGGAAACCTTGGAAGCATTATGCTTGTAATTAAGGTTCCCTTTACATAATACAGTTGTTACATAATATATAAAACAAAAACAAAAACAAGAGAACAAAAACGGGTGTGTGGTGCAGCCAGCCAACAAGTGTTGATAATACAGATGGTCTCTATCATTATGACCTTGAACATATGACACTGGCAGAGCAAGAGTTGTTTATTTATAACCCTAGTGTTATAAGCTCTCATATTTCCATGTAGAACATTGAAATTTTGTAATACAAACAGGCCTGATAATTACCCATTTTTTTAATTTATTTATTTTTCCTGATTTTTTCCTAAATTAAAAAAAAAAATCTTCCTGAATTTGCCCCTATTTTTCAGATTTTCCTTTTTTTTTCTCCACGAATCCTCTTCTTCTTCTATTTTTTTTTACTCAAGGGGATGAGGGGGAAAGCTCACTATCACCCCTGTAACATATCATCACACATCATTGGTCTCTAGTATTTTCATATGAGATTTTAAAAGAGAATCTTGATTTCTGGCCATAGAATTAGACAATAACTTTTGAAAGAATAGATACAATTTGGTAGAACATGTATTAGTTATAAGCAAAGAAAAATAGAATTATGCTCAAAGTCCACACCCCATGACACAACACATGGTTTTGTGTAATTTGTGCTTTTCATTGAGCATGATTTTGGAGATTGTTAATACATTTGCTTACTTGTTTTGTTTTATTATGTTTCTGTTTTTTCTTTTCCCCCATTTTTTTTCGTCTCGTTTTAATTTTGTCTTTGTTTTCTTTCTTTTTTTTTTCTTTTTCTTTTTTATTTTGTGTTGGTATGGTTTTGGGGTTTGTTTTTGCTTGTCCAACAACCCAGAAAAAATTCAAGCCACATTTTCTCAAAAAAAACCTGAGCCTCTACCGCAGCTCAAGATTAGCTTTAAAGATGTATTAGTGCATGAGTGACTCTAGAAGTGGCATTGACTGTCCAAATGTCAATGAGCCACTCCAGTGCATCGAGTTGCCATGGAAATTTATCAGCACGAATCACAAAAAGTAAATCATTACCACCCACTTTCCACATGCTTCGTGTGTGTGTGTTGTCTTGCTAATGCCACCATTACCGCACTTTAGTGTAACTAGCTAGAATACTTAATTGACCATTTGAAGGGCTTATTCATGGTTTAGGGGATTTAGGGGCTTTTAGTTATAGCAGAATTTATTCCAGCATTCAGCTCATTAATGAGAGGAAAATGACATTGGAATTTAATGTTGCTCAAGTTGTACATGTACATGGCATTAAAAAAAACACATGTACCTGTACTGCTGTACAATATACTTTGAAGTCCTACAGGGAATATCATTTGGAGTGAATTTAACAAAAAATTGGACAGAATTACCAGATTGAGGCAACCGTGAAGATCGTGTACAAGGTCTCTCTTTCAATTACTCAATTGTTGCTAACATATTATTGGAAAGACAATTTTCTCTTCTTTTATGAGATGCCATAACCATTGCCCAGTGACTAATACCCTTTTCGTAGTGACTCCAAAAAAAAAAACATTGTTAATGACCTTTGACCAATTTCCCTCGTGTTTTTCTCACAAACCCATTTATATACAGCATTTCATCATAGTCACATTGATAGAAAGAAAATTTCTTCTGCTCTTTAGCAGGAGAATTTCATCACCTATTTCTCTTCTTTGTATCGGCTATTTCCCCTGATATTTCTCCAAAGTGGCCATTTCATTGGAAGCCTCCAGATGCATCCAATGAAAATCAGGCCACTATGAAAGGAGTATCAGACATTACTGATTTCAGACAACAACAGTGTCAAACCCTGTAGTGCAAATGAAATGGATGGCTGCTGAATTTCCTTTATATTGGTTTGGGGAAAAAAGGCAAATGATTCAGAATGATTATTCTAATAAATGCACATGATTTGAATGCTCATAGTCTCCCCTTTCATATGACATAGTGATGACGGAGGAAAATGCATCATGAATCGCATAACCATGGTAACTGTCCTGATTTATGATTGTAGAGTGCATAAATGTTTTTCTTGCCTTGACCTTGTTCCATACCAATTGCAAAATATGCCAACTCAGTCACGCAAGATCCGTTATGTGGAATAAGAAATAAGAATTACTTCCTGTCTTGTTAAAAACATAATGTACTGAATTTAGTAGCCATCCATTTCTTTGGGACGGTTGGGTTTCTAATAGCGACACTTCAGACTCTCTGAAATACACATCTAATGATGTGGATTTTAACAACATTGAATTATCAAGTAGTTTTCTGAGATAATTGGGTAATTTACTTCTTTTCTTCAGGAACAGCTTATAGTCCTTTATTTGTTCAATTTTTTACAAAAACCTTCATAAAATTGCTTGCATTGTTTCATTTGAACCTTAAATTAGTCTATAGATAATTATATATAAATTTTACATATTTTGTTAGAGCAGATAGTTCTTTTTTGCAAGATGGTATGGTGCAAGCAAATCATAAGTTGACCTCCGATCATCCTTTTAGTCTCTTAGCCATCAAGTAAATTAGATTACTGATTTAGGAATACACTTAATGTACAGTAGA